AAGGCAGGGGCCTGGGAGAACAGGGTAGCTGCCACTGACTGACCATATGACCAGGAGCAAGTCCCTTTGCCAGCCAGTGCCTTTGTGCCCGTCTGCCAGATGCCGATAACACCTTGCATTGCAAATGCAAAGCACCTCAGCATTTATAACAGGAGCCCAGAATGACCATCATCAGCAAGGAATAATTTCAGCAGCTTTTCTGCAACAGAGAGGCCAACTTACTGAAGTGTGAGAGAGTCCAGAGAAGAGCCACTCGTATGATTAGAGGCCTGAAGAACAAGCCACATGAAGAAAAGCTGACAGATATGGGACTGTCTAGAAAAGAGAAGACTGGGACAAGCCTAGAAAAGAGAAGACTTTGGGGGGATTTGGTGGTAGCTTACAAATATATCAGGGGAGAGCATCAGCAGCTCAGCGAACTAGTCACCAAAGCGCCCCAGAGGAAAACCAGGAGCAACGGGTCGTAAACTCCTCAAAGAAGGTTTCCGACTGGATATAAGGAAAAACTTCATGGTTCATGTGACCAGACTCTGGAATAAACTCCCAGGCACCTACCCTGGAGATCTTCCAAAAGGAGACTGGATGCACCCCTCGCTGGGGTTATTTGACCCCCGCTGTCTTCCCTGCCCAGAGCAGGGGGGCTAGACCCAATGATCTCACAAGGTCCCTTGTAGCCCTAAGCTTCTGTGAAATACTAATTGCAAAAACCTCAATTCCTATCAATAAGCCTCATCATAAAACTCTGCCAGCCCACATTTGCTGAGAAATCGCACGGTCTGCAGTTACACCAGGATAAAACTGGTGTACGCAGAAAGGAGGTTCAGGCCTTCTACGTCTGGTTAAGAAAATATCCAGGAAAGGAATACCTAAAACACTCCTAACCTTTCATGCCAGTAATTAAACTTCTATTTTCAATTTCAGTAACTTTATTAACAGAAAAAGGCACTATGTACCAGCGTTGCCAAAGTCAATAAATCAAGTGTGTTATAAAAGCAGCGCAGGAGATGCTACATTGCCCGTGTTCCATTAACGCTTGTTGCAATTTTCTGACTTAGATGAAAATGGATATTATCATAATAATAAAGCATTCTGTACTCAGGATCTTAACGCGCCTTCATAAACATTAATAATGAAGCTTTCAGAACTCCAGTGCGTCAGGGGAGGGAGGGGAACGTATCACTGCACCCATTTTACAGATGGAGAGAGACAAAAAGAAAGAGAAAATGAGCACCAAGACCCCAATTATTCTAAAGCTGGCTGCTTAAAAAAAGTTAGGCCCCGACATTCATTTTGAGGCTGGAATATGTATTTATCTTCCCCATTTTAAGCACCCAGGTATGAAAATGTTGATCTTAAATTGGTTTACTTCCATTGAATCATTCATTCAACAGGATCAGTTTGGTTTGCCATTTGCTAAGTGTGTGTTTGTGTCTAAGGATTCACATAGAGATCTACCTGTGCCTGTATGTATAGAAGTATATCGCTCTGGTAGCTATAATAGACAAATACTCCTCAAGCATTTATGGGTTTATTCTTACAACACTTTGCAAAATAGGCTACTATTACTGGGAGAAGACTGGCAGAGGTGAACTAACTTGCCCCAAGTCACACAGGGCATCCATGGCAGAGGCAGAAATTCAGCCCAAATCTCTTGAATCTCATCCCAGTGCCTTAGCCACAACACCGTGCCTCCTCTGCTCTTCTGGCAGCCACTCAGCACACAAAGGATCTATAAAACCCCATGGTTAAGTGAGCTAGTCTGCGATATCCCTCCCTCCCCACCAATAAATTTCTCCCAGAATGCCTCTCTTTGATAGCCCCACATTAAAGCTGATAATTACAGCAACAATGTTGGGATCATCTCATCTAAACTTCCCACTGGAGGGACAGGAGGAAGGAAGCTCTGCCATTGCTCACCTAGAGTGCCAGCCACTCCAGCCTTTAATGAATGCCTCTTGTGCTCCGATGCTGATACATCGCAGTGTGAAGAAGAAACCTTTAATCAAGCCGTAGAAATGCATAATGAAGGTCTGGAGAAGGGAAAAAAAAAAAAAAAATCATTTAAAAGCCTGGTGCCAGACCTTCTATTAGTCCTGGGAAGAAAAGTCCCTTTTCCCATAATCCCCACCAGTAAAACTAAGAAGTAAATAAATTTCACTGAGCCTTTAGAAAATGCTGTAATTGCCTTTGTGGTCTAATTGCTCTTGGTTTTACAGCCTCATTTCTTGCCATAAAGCAAGTCCCACTTTTTATGCTTTTTCCTTTGCGGAGGGTCTATGATTATTTTTCTAATTGGCTTTGTGCGTTGATCTCTCCCAAATCCCCCTGGGGGACCCAATCCTGCAGCCCTTACTCAGGCAAGTGGCCTCACAGTCATGACTCACAGGAGTAAGAGCTGCAGAAGTGAAAGGGCAGTTCGCTCTTTTGTGGCCACGCGCCAGGTTTTGAAATGGGTCATATCGCAAATGGGGAAGGTGGAGAAGGGGGTGGCTCACACCAACACGTAGCGCTGGCTGCAGATCAAGGCACGTGCCCTTTTACAGCCTCTCCTTTCAGTCACAGCCATCTCTATCAGCTGGACAGCTTCCTTTTAACGCTTCATTTTTCAGCCCTGAGCCTTTCGGAGAAGTGGCACCACGGCGTGTGCACGCGTCAAAAAAGTTCGCCTTCCCTTCTGCTCGCCCATCCATGACACCTTAGGCACATAGGCAGACAAGGTTCCTTGGGTGAATTTGATACCTTTTATTAGACCAACCCAAATGGTTGGAGAATATTTATTAAGCAAGCTTGCACCCTTGCAAACCAACTGAGTTCATAATGTAAGACCATAAGCATGTGCTACAGTGCTTTCCTGTTGGGAGTTTAAGTGATGACTGCAAGCTACTCCTGTTTGGAAACAGTAATAAAGTGTGCCCCATCATGTCTCCTAGAACCAGTCAAAGCCTTCCCACCATGCACAGCCATGCATAGAAATATAAGTATGCATGCAAGTACCTTCACGTGTGTTATGGATAATTCACGTATCCATTCAGGTATGTCCTGGAGATCTATCTATATGCATAATGAGCTTCAAAAAACTCCCATTAGTGAAAATCTGGAGTGGCTATATTGAAGCCAGTGGTGTAAAACAGATGCAAGTGAATTCCGAGTCTGGCACCAACATAGATACTAATACCAACGGCAGGACAAATTTTTTGCTTTTTAAAGTGTATACCCTTGCAAAACTGCATGCCCCCAGTTAAATTCTCCTCTCCGTTACAGTGCTATAAAACCTGGAGTAATTGAGCTGAGGTCATTACTGCTTGCTAACGGAGAGATTTTGGTCCACTGTGTGCACAGAGGAGGTATATACAGAGCAGTACAATACGGCACACATGAAACAAATACGTGGATGCTTAGGGCGACTGTACTTCCTTTCATGACTGCAGGGAAAGTGAAGATCTAGATACAAGATACTATCACTGGGAACTTAGTAAGAGGATATAAGAAAACAAAACCGCGCAAAAAAGATTAAAAAAAAGCTGCATCATCTGCAACCCTTTTAATAACCCTCTTATTTCAAACAGCAGCAGCATCTACTAGCTAGCTCTCCAGAACAGCATCCCTATTTGTTTTCTGTTTGATATACAACTGCAATAGGAAGCCATGCATGAAGTTTATTAAGCCTGGGTAATTTTCTATCGGTTCTTCGTGCTATTGATTTCATCTGTACAGTTATCTAGCTCTGCCTGAACCTGAAAAGTCATTTACCAAAAAAAAAAAAAAAGCGCATTTAATTTGTCAAAAAAATGCAACTATTATGGGATGTAAAGTGTCACTATTTGCAATGTGTTAACAACAGGCCTGGAATGAATGAACCAGAGATAAACATCTTATTAAGCAGACTTTCAAGATACAAAAAGGTAAAATGTATGGAGCAATTTGGAGCGAACCAGGACACAGGTCCAGATCTCAGCTTCATAGTTCAATCCTCTTTCTCCAAGGTGACTCCTGAAGGCTGGATCTGCTTCCTCTCTGTTACACCAGGTTTAACACGGGGCCAGCTCACCGCTGTCCAACTGTCATAGCCATGTGTGGACATGCTTCTAATTTCTGCCTGGGCATGCACAAGTAAAATCAGACTTCGTGACTTGATGCACTGAATCTAGGGAAGGATCGGGGCCTGCCTCACGTCCCACTCCAGCATGAAAGCCTGATAGTGCGACATAAATGCTTATATGTCTAATACTTACAGACTGGGTCAAGTTCAGAAGCCTCCCCCCCAGGTCACACCGAGCCTGCAAAGCTTTTTGATGGCCACTACGTCCGCCAGGAGGTTGCAGGACCCCACAGTCCTCACGTTCCTTGGAAAGGGATAATGTCAGATCCACGCCATGGAAGATCTTTCCACCACCCTGGCATCTCCACCAGTGCATCCCCCATTGACAGGGCTCCTGCAGAGGGTTATGTCTTGTATTATCTTCTCAGATGATCAAAGCACCGTCTTGGAATGGAGTATGGAAGGGTGCGTGGACCATTGCTCCCCCTTTTAATCCACGTATGCTTGAGAAATCCCTGGTGAAAGACAGATGCTAGAGCCAGACACCACTGCACCCCACTTTTAATCCACCTATGCTTGAGAAATCCCTGGTGAAAGACCAAACCTAGAGCCAGGCTCTAGACAACAGCTCTGAGTCCTGATCCAAACTTTCCCAAAGATCCTGCAGGGCCTAGATGCCAGCTTTCAGGTCGGGCTCATCCCTAATAAATGCACCAGATCTATCATATAGCTTGCACAAAAATCGCCCTGTGGGAACATTTACACCATACTAATTAACTAAGAAATCAAAATGTATTAGTCTCATTTACAATGTTCTCCTGTTGCCGCTCCTTGTCAATCACCGTGACTGACACAACCTGCCTGTCTCCTGTGACAGGCACCCAAGACGAGTTAGCCCTACAACTCTTCCCCTTTCTCTTTTTGCCCTGCCATTGCTAGATGCATCTCTGCTTTGCCAAGTCCTGGGTTTTCTCATGATTTTCAGGGCAGGGGGGTTCTTAATTTAAAGGCCCAGTCACACCAGTGCTGCTCCAGGGAAGACAAGTGGATCACTCTGCCGAGTAGGGAGACTTTATCCCAACTGAGCGTGGAAAGGCAGAAGTACAGCTGCAGGCTGTAAGAGGAGTTGCTGGGATGACATTGCTAGGTGGACACAGTCCAATTCCTACTGGACAAAATCCATCATCCTGCTCTAACTGGCTCCATCTTTGGCAAGCCCAGCAGCAAGGCCAAGGATAAGAGGGACCTTGGAGATTTCGCTCTTCGACTCAAACGCATTCCACCAGATCAGGGTTGACCAGCATTAAAGAGAGAGTGTCAAAAGACTTCTCCGACCCCAAATGTGTGGGCAAAGAACGAGAACTTCCCGGTGCCCGAAGGCCTCTGCAGCTTTCATAATATCCATCTCCGACAGCGCTTTTCAGCTGTAGCTACCAAAGTATTTTATGAAGGTCATCCAGATCAACAGCCCTCCTGTGCAGATGGAGAAACTGAGGCACAAAGTGGAAAGTTGTCTCTCTCGAGGCCACCCGGAAAAAATAAATACATCAGTGCTGGGAAGTGAACACAGTATTCCCGAGTCCTGGCGCCGCGTACCATTCACCAGGCCTCCCTGCCTCTCTCCACTGACTGCTTCATCTCTGCCACCAAGGTTTTAGCCTGAAAAACATCATTTTGAATAAAAGAAAGCCTTCCTCAAGTGGCATCCATCCATCCTCCTTCCAAGGATTTTACCTTTGTCATCAGATTGCAACGCACAGATCCCTCCTCTCAGCCTCGCATTTGCTCCATGGCTTCTCATAAATGGAGGAGAACAGCTTCCACTGAGCAAACAATGCAAATGTATTGGTTTTGTGTTGGGAAGACGAGCAAGATCCAGCAGAAGGAACTGAATGCAGGAGCCCCAAACTGCAGGCAGTTGTTGATCTTTTCCAGGTTACTGGATCCATCAGAGGTCCGTGTTATGGTTATAATTATATTACCAGTGGACATATTTAAATATAGTGCATCCACTAGCCAAACAACAGTCAGGCTTCTGGATCAATCCAAATCACCCACAAAGGTTGGCAGGCTGGTTGGATCTCTTCCAACTTGGAATTTGGATGCATAGCTGTAGACAGGCTTTGGTGCAAAGAGGAGGTTTTTAGACCTTTGCGGGGCTCCCTGCACCATTTCCTCCGTTTTTGTGCAGAAGAGGGGAGAGAGAGAGAATAGCAAACTTCATTTTTACTGTTCCATTGTGAGTCAGCGAACGCACCCCGGCACTTCCCAAAGAGCTAAGGAGCAGCCCCATGGCTGTGACATTTGCGATGCATTAAGTTTAAACATTTTCAATAAAGAAAAACAATCCATTCAGACTTGCTTTATGATTCATAGTAATTGCAAATAGAAGCAGTTAATATAATTGTCCAGCTGAGACCAGCAGGCTTGGAACATGTAGTAGTGAGATGTACAATCAAGGAAGGTTGGGAGGGAATTTAAGTGCAGGTTAAGCAAATGCATTACTTTAATAACACACAGAGACAGCCCTTGTAGTTATAAAGAAGACAAAATAAATATTGTACCAGAAATCTACAGAATGGGAGGTTTTATCACCAAGAATTGCCCACTTGGTATTTACTTTCAATTTAGATTTCACAAAAGCTGCACTTGCCATGTTTTTATGTATGGAAGAGAATGACTTGCATTGACAAATGACCTTATTTCCCCATAAGTTTTAAAAGGAAGCCTCAGTTTCTCAAGGAAAAACGATCGCTTCACCGGCATTTGTCCTGGAGGGAGATGTTTGCCTTTTTTTTTTTTTGTAGGAATATAATTCAAAGAGGAGATGGTGCTTTTGCTTTTTGCTCTCTCTATTGGAAGTGGGCCAATCTCTTTGACTTCAAGGCTTCTCCAAATCATGAAGAAAGAGGCATTCAAGCCTCTGCAGTGGGTTTTTTGTCTAAATGTAGCCATCTCACCAACTTCTCAGGTTCTGATGCAGACGGAAGA